CTGATTCTGCTGCATGCCTCTCATGCTACAGAGCAGAGAGGGACATCAGAAAGACACACAGGATAGCCTTGTTATCAAGAGAAATAGTGCCTCTCAGCAATTACCCAAGCAGAAAAAAACAGTTGAAGTAGAACAGAACACTGCAAAGAAGTCCGTTACATTCATGCCAGGGGCTTTTGGATGCTGAATGTCTGTTAAGTACAAAAAGCACAAACTGTAAAGTGCGTAGTTTTGAGCAGATCCAGTGCTGTTCAGATGCACAAGACCTCAGTGACTGCTTGACTTCTGGATCTGGAGATATTGCAGTCTTTGACTGTCACAGGTTAAACCGCAGATGTAAGAAATTGATGCAATATGTAATGACCCCATTTAATTTAAAGTGGGGCAGAGTTACATTTATCCTCAGGCTGGAATTTGATTGCTCAGACTCCATGGGTTCTTAATTTGCTAATCTCTCTTCTGTCATCTTTTCTCCTCCCTTTCATTCCTCTTATTCTTTTAAGCAGTCTCCAGCTCGCTCATGCTTTTCTGACATCTTTTTGGTGCCAGAAGAAAATATTCATTCACTCCTGAAGCTTGTTTTTTTTGATGCACTCTTCACCTGTGCAGAACCTGAGATCAGAACCTTGCTAGAATTTGTCCTACCCTTGTCATTACCTCTGTCCTCCTTAAAAGAGAACAGGAGAGCCAGCTGAGCATAAAACGTGCCTTTTGGAACCATGTCCCTGCCAGCTGTTATAGCTCTCACAGGCTGCAAGGTGCTGTGTGGAGTCTGACATGCACTAGTCACTCAGAGCTTAGGATTAATGATGCTCTGAAAAGCTCAAGCATCTTTTTTTTTTTTTTTCTATTAATTTATATTTTCACCAAGGCCTGGCCTTCTTCAGTTCAGGGTGGGAATATGTCTGAATTTTTTGTTTTTCTTTGGTTATCAAAATACAGAGGTTATTCTAACTGGGCACATTAATGCCATTCAGTTGCTTCCTGGTAACTGCTCCATTAATGTCTGTCAGCATGGCACCTTCTCCACTCATAACCTTCTCACAGACATGACAGCTTTCCTCACAGAATGGAGATACTTAAAAAACAACCCCACAAAACGTCAAGATGTTGCTGGATGAGATGCCCTGAGACATTCATGACACAATGGTATCTGTGAAGAAATGCAGATAGGACAGGTGGCTGACAGTTAGGTACTTTGTCTGTAATTCCTCTGAGCTACTGGCAGGCACCTTCTTAAAGATAATGGTTACCATGAGAAACCTCTCCCAAAAAGTAGTACTTGCAGTAACTACTTTAAAATGGTATGTGGGATGCCTGTATCCCTTCTGTTATTTTCAGAGGACAAATAACATAGGTCAAGACTTGTGGAATAATAATAACGGATTAATATAATAATAAAACAGACTGGAGAGTCTGAATAAAATAGACTTCAAACTGTGTTTTCTAAAGGGTTTTGTAAAACGGGCTGAAGCAGCTATTTGAGCTCAAGTAAATCAGGGAGAAGTTGCCTTTGAGTGACTGAAGGGCTAGCTCAAAAGCAGCCATTTGGACTGGTTTTCTCTGCCCAGAATGCAAACATATTGCTCCCTGGGTGTCTTTCTGCAGAGATACTGCTGTGACTGCCTCCTCTCAAGAGAAACAGCACATTACTTGTATCAAGATGGTAGCCACCTTCTGACATGCAGCCATTATTTTTCTCAGACCACAGAAATGATATGTCCAAGGTAAAACAAATATGTAAGTAAATGAAGTTGCTCACAAAAATGTTTTTGCCTGAATAATTAATTAATCAGCAAAATTTCCCATAATAAAACATGTCCTAATGAGCTATCAGGAGGAGAGGAAATTCATCACTTACCTCACAAATGTCAACTTGAGAGCACTGTTCATGTCAGATGGTATAATTAATGACTTGAGAGGGAGTGTGGAGCAACAAAGCCAAAACCACAGTCCCCATCAGTCATTCCACATCAGTCCAACTCATACAGTGTTACTTCATCTACAGAGGATTATCCAGGCAGCTAGATGGAGATATGGGGCTGAAGGGAATATGAGCAAATACAGTACATCTGATCTTGATTTATCCAAGTTGGTTTTATGCTTATCACTGAAGGCAATGGCAGTTGATCGTGTAGTTGTTTTATTTTGGTGGTTTTTTTTTTTTGTTGGTGGTTTTTTGTTTGTTTGTTTGTGTTTTTTTTTTGCAGAGAAAAAGAAATTTGCAAACTTGGGACTTCACCCTCCCTGATGCTGAGCAAGCTGCCTTCAATCCCATGTCAGCACATGGGTCTCTGGGGTTTCTTCCCTGTGGGAGATGGGAACAGAAGTTCCTGTGCAGAAAGCCTGGGCAAGCCCCATCTGAGCTGCAGGCAGGAGTTCTGGGATGTCGTGCTCAAGATGTGGGTGGTCATGGTGGGGCTGCAGTAAGAAGACATCTGAACTGTGCTCCAAGGACAGCCAGTAGCTGATGCTTGGTTTAGAAAAGAATGCAGGATGCTGTCAAGTGCACAGTGATCATTTTGTGACTCTACCTTCTCAGCAATCTGCTGTTCAGGAACTTCCTGACATGAAGGTTACTTCCCAGCTCTGTGTTTAGGAGTCCTTGATGGCTTTTTTCCCCATTAGTTTCTCTAATCTCTTTTTGAACTGGCACTTATTTTTGGCCTCTGCAGTGTCCTGTGATGAGTGCCACAAAGTAATTATTGTGCTGTGGGGCATCTTTTCCTGTGTTTTAGAATTTCTGCCTGGCCTGTATATTTGATATCCTCCATTCCCTGTGATATGAGGAAAAAAAAAATTCACCTTGCCTGTCTACCCCAGTTTCCCCATGCTAAGGAAAATCAGCCTATTTAAGACTTCTTTGTAAAGCACCATCAAATTTACTCCACTAAAGCAGCTGTGTATTTTAGAGACTAAGTTCCAGTCTAGGATTTACATGAAAGAAGGGTATGAGAAATCCAGGCAGCTGCCAAAAAAGTGATGCCTGACAGGTTTGATTTCTACCTCATTGCTCACTCCAGTGTGTGGTCACTCCATCTGACCAAGTACTGCACTTCAGTAGCTGTCAGCCTGCTATATGCAGCTGTTTTATATGTCTGTTAACATCTGCAAACATCTAACTGTATTTTCTGAATCTCTCTGATAAATGCTCCCTTGAGTTTGTTCATCAGCAAAGACAACTTTACATGCTCTGCAAGTGACCCTCATGTTTCACCTCTGCAATAACCCTCCTGAAACATAGCCCTGTGGTAGCTCGGGGTAAGATCTGAGCATGGGGCTTGCTTGAGGCAAAGCACCGTTGGCATCTGTTAGCTCTTTTTGTAGGCTCCAATGTAAGCAATAACTGAGCTTTTATGTGATGTTGACCTCTCAAGTTAACTTCAGAGAACATTATTTGGCAAATCTGATGTGTCAGGTTTCAAAGAAAATAGTTTTTCAGATCAATCCAGGTGTGTTTTCCTTCTGGATAAAGGATGAAACCCTTCGGGAACCCAGCACTTTGTGGAGGCAAGGTTAAGAGCAATAAACTTTCCTTCTTTTCAGACTGAAATATCAGCGAAATCTTTTCTGTTAGGAGATCACGTCTATCCACACAGGGTCAGGTCAATGCTCTATAACTCATCTTGCAAAATTGAAATACAATTTTTGATTATCAGAGTTGGGTAAGGATCAGAAAAATGGCCTGACATATTACATACATATATACTGACATAAGATTTTATTCAAGAAGCAGGTTCTGCAAGAAACCTACTTTCTCTGTACAGATATAGCAAGATTTAAAGATAATATTCATTACGTATGGGTTAGAATGTAGCTAAATTAATGTCTTTTCTGGGAATCCCCCAGTGCCTGCCTCAGGACTGTATTTGAAACCTCTTAGGGGAATAGAAAAATAATTGTTTTGTTGCCCAATGGAAACCCAAAACTGAAAACCCACGTGTGGTATATTCAGGGTCCCAGTCTCTCATCTGCTCCTTTAAATGCTACCTAAGAAGTAGTACAGTGCCTAAAATGATCATAAACAGCTCTGGGATTAAGAAGGGATCTGAGACATGCAGGTATCTCAGGTTGGATATGCCTAGGAAATTGGATTAGGAAATGACTTTACCTGGAACTGGACATGAATTGTGGTGTCTTGCATCAAAAAGAGGGTTCATGTTTAGATGGAAAAATGAAATTGTGATTGAGGGGAAGCTCAAAATTGGCATCAATTTCATTTGGATTTTTGTGCTAGGAGGTGAGTAACTGAGCACAAATCGCATTCCTCTAGCCTTTTGCTTTCTTATATCCTAGCCATGCAGTCTGAGCCCTACATCTGAGGAGACGCTCTGATGTCTTTCTAAGAGTGGTGTGGGGTAGGGTGCTGGTCCCTAACAGTGCAGAGAGAGGTGGTTGTTTATCTCAGGGAATCAAGTAAGTGACAACTGTCCCTGCCGTGCACATAACATTGCTGTGCTGGTCTGTTCTCAGCTTGAAGTCCAGCTGGAGCTCAGAGTTCTTTTCTTTCACTCCTACTACATCTGGTAGCCAGGAGACAATGCAGGTGATCCCAACCCTGGGCAGCCCCGAACTGACAACAAAGATCAGTAAAAGTTAGAAAGTTATTCTACTTCTGCTTTTGCTGCCACTTGCAATACCTTGTTGGTGAGGACGACTAGGTGGGTTAGGAACAAATCCACTCAGCCTGCAGGTCCTGGGGTGGCTGTGCACCCTGTCTCTTACTGCCACCACCTGAGGTTGGCGGCCAGAGTTTTAGAAACTGGGGCCAAAACTTGCTGGGATCCAGCAGCCAGGATGAAGTTCTGTTTCTAGTTTTGGTTTTGGTTTGGGGGTGTGTGTGTGTGTGTATCTTTCCCCCCCCCCCCTTTTTTTTTTTTCCTTTTTTTAACCACTGCAGTGGGGGGCTGCATGTCACCAACACTGGTGACATCAGTGTCATAGGTCATGAGGGGGACACCCCACTGTGGTACCCAGCCCCGCTGGGGAGGCACAGGCTGATTTAACCCCCTGAGCGCCGGGTCTATTAGCGGCCAGATTTTCCCGAAGAAGGGGGCATTCCCCACAACACTCTTTCCTTTCTGCTCCCCGCGCAAGCCCTAAAGCCATCAGTAGGGGCAGCTCGGGCAGCGGGAGAGGCAGCAGCTGTATTCGGAGGAGGCAGTGCATTGCACTGCGCATCCTCCCTCCCCACCCCCTACTGCTTCAGGCTTCCTCCCTTCATCCCACTATCCGCCCCCTCCCCCGCATCCCTTCCTCCTGCATCCTTCCCTCCTGCATCCTTCCCTCCTGCATCCTTCCCTTCTGCATCCCTCCTTCCTTCCTTCCTTTCCTCCCTCCGTCTGCCTGCGTAGAGCCGCGGACATGGCGCTCAGCAATTTCCTCTTCGCTCAGTGCATCTGCTACTTCCTCGCCTTCCTCTTCAGCTTCATCGTGGTGGTGCCCCTCTCCGAGAATGGCAACGACTTCCACGGCCGGTGCCTGCTCTTCACCGAGGGCATGTGGCTCAACGCTAACCTGACGGTGGAGAGGCAGCGTTTCACTGTACAAGAGTGGGGGCCCGAGGCTGCCTGCCGCTTCAGCATCTTCACCGGGCTCCTCTCCCTCCTGCTGGCCACAGTGCAGGCCTGGAGGACCCTCTTCTTCCTCTGCAAAGGGCATGAGGAGTAAGTATCCCTGGGGAAGGCAGGGTGTGCCCATCCCTCCTGCAGGCTGGGGCAAGTGGGAGCATCCTGGGTGTGAAGCACTGGGCTTTGCACCATCCAGATCATCCTGTTCCCTAGGGGCTTGGGCTGAGGCAGTGTATTGCCTGTGTCTGTCTGCACGCACACACCATGTACACCCCCACCTGTGTCCAGGGCCCCTTTGGACGATGTTCCCCTACATGGGTTTCGGGTAGGGGGACAGATTCACCGATTTCCTCCCACTGACCTTTAGCAGTCTCTGGGGGCAGCATCTAGCCAGAAAAACTGTGATGAGCATGGAAGATGTGTGGGGTCATGGGGTGATGCTGGGGGCTGGGGCTAGCAGGTGTCTCCTGACCATGGTCCCACTACATGTCCCTGTAAAAAGGGGGGGGGGCAGAAGGGAGAAGTTGTTGGTTCCCCTCATTTTTTTCCTGCTTTTGTGGTGGACATGGCAACTATTGCAGAGAACAACCATTGCGTGGTTACGACATGAGAGCAATGTTGAGCACTGCCTGCAGCAGCCTCAGGGCTGCACTGGCAGCTGGGTACTGTGCTCAGGCAAACCAAGGGGCATCAGATCCCAGCAGGAATAGTGAGAGACTTGGTGGTCCAGGAAGCAGCTTGGGAGCTCTGTGCTTGCCTCTCTGGTGGCCTATCCTGCCACCTTAGGTAGAGCCCCTGACACAGGTAACCCAGCCTATGGGTGCTATGGGTCCAGGGCCCTTGAAGCATCCAGCTGCACAAAAACAGGAAGGCAGGAGCACACACTGATGGCTGGCTAGACTAGGAAAGTCATTTCCCCATGGTTTAAGGAAAATGACAAAGACAAATCACTTGTGTCCAGATCTAGTTGTCCTAGAGGTTTCCTGGGTCAGTGGCTCTTACATCTGGGCTTGTACAATACCCTGATGTTGGTAATATCAGGAACTGTGTAGCAGTGTTGTCTCTCTGACTCTTTGTTACGACCCTCAAGCTGCCTAATGACAAAACATGCTGTAAGTATAGACTAGAAACTTATTTCCATATTAAAAATTATCTCACAAGTTCTAAACATAACCATGTACTTCTTAACACATTGAATTCAGCTTCCTCAGGTGACCAGATATCTATACAGGATTAGTTAAATCCAGATGCCTTTTTTCAGTTTTGTAGTTCAGAACTAGTTCATTTTTGGAAGAAACCAGCAGTAAGAATCTTGTAATAGTGAAAATTGGATCAGATATTTGGCCTACTTCTAGATGTGTCTGTTTATTTCAAAACTGTTCAGAAGGCCCCTGAAAATTGTCCCAGAGACAAAGCAAGTTGGCATGAAATAACCACAGGCATCACAGAATGGTAAAACAAGATGGATGAGAGAGAAGCTGCTGGAAAACAGCATTTTCCTAGTAAGAAAGAAGGTCTGTCTTGTACCGGATCTGCTGCTGTCAAGCAGGACACACACTGTTCTGATTTTAGACAGCCATTTGTTAATGCTTCAAATGGGCACACAAACAGGTCTGTTTAAATGTAGAGATAAATGTGAGCTACTCACCACAAATGAAAATTGCCATTTCTGATTAGTTGAGGTAGTTGAGGATGAATCACAATGACATCACTGCTGATCCTATTGAGCAGGACCACTGCTGCTGGGCCCGCCCCAGGGTGAGCTGTCCAGAGGCAGAGTTGGCACCCTATGCATCCTAGCAAGGTGGCCAATCTTCATGTGAATGATTGCTGCTAAAAATCCTTCTTGAAAAGGTCTCAGCACCCCTTGCCTCCAGGACAGACAGAGCTGAATTTCCTTGCAGGAATAGAAAAAGCAAGCGCTAGCTGCCAGTCATGCTCTGGGCCTGGGACTATTTAGCTCAGCTGAAAGGTAGAAGTACAACTCAGATACTTCATTACCAGGAATTCAAAGCAACTTCTACTTTGACTCTAAGCATGTATTACTATATGGCATTCATTCAGTCTGGAATGTGTAGCTTGAAATTCTGATCTAAGAAGAAAAATAGATGAGGAAGAGAGCCAGTTTAGCACAGTTCTCTACCAGGATACCCTGGCCTTATGAATCTCTAGCACACAGTGATGTTTACTGATTGCCAAGTACAAATCAAGCCCTGCTTTGGCAGTGGAAGGTCAGATTCTGGACCCTGGCATCTTTTCTGCTGCAGAGTAGGAAGCAGAGGGAGGACTAGGGGTCCTGGGCTTGTGGTGATCCACTGAATAATCCTAGTAACTGTTTTTTTTTCCAGAGCTCTTACTAATTCTGATGTCAGCTCTGTTTTTATTCAGTGGTCAGCTCAAGTCTTTTCTGACTCTCAGGCCAGAATACCATGCTGAGGTGCACACAGTGGATACAGTCTTAGCAACACTCGGGATGAAACCCAGGCTAGGCTACCCCTCTGAATCCATGTCAAACCAGGAGCATTACCCCACTGGTAACTGTTTCATTTTAAAGAAATTCTCCTTATATGCCTCACCATGTACAACCTATAGAAATTAGGATTGTCTAGCCCAGAACATTCCTAGGATTCAAACGCTGACTCAAAAAGTCTCTCAGCTTTTCGTTTAATGAGCCACCATGGAAATTGCTGTTTGTTTTGTTTCATTTTGTTTTGTTTTTCTCTGTAATGAGCAGACTCCTTCTATCCCCAGCATAATGAAAGTGGCACTGGTGGGAAATTCCTCATGTTCATCCTTACCACCTAACCTGGATAGGATGACCTGCCTCTTGCAGACGCCAGTCTTTCTCCAACCTAGAGTAGATGTCCAGTTTTTAGGTAATGGGACTTTCCAAGTGCCACGTAGGGCAGTTGCGAGTAGAGAAGGCTTGGTCAGATGAATGAAAAAAAGGATTAGAAAGTTTTCACTAGCTAGAATTAAGTAGGGGGAAGTTAAACAGTGAGGTTGGAATTGCCTGGCCTTATAGGACCACTGTAAGCATCCTACCACATACCACTTCAAAAATGGCATGTACCTAGAACTAGCCCTGGTTGGGCAGACTTAACAAGGCTGAGGTAAACTGATATTCAGCTGTCAGAAATAACACCAAAGCCAGAGAAGTTCCAGGAGAAGCTGGCTTGCTCTGCAAATTGCCCACAAAACTGAGACTGCTCTCCTATGATGACAGTACCTTGTGTTACGTTGCTTAAAATGATTATAGCTATCAGTAGTGTTTTTTTTTACTTTTAATTTCCTTCTCCTAGGCAATTTTTGTCCCAGTTATCATGGGGACATAATTAGTCATGAAATAATTTTAGCTCCACTTACTGTATAATTTAAGTTAATGACATTTATTTTAAAAATGGTGATTTTCATCATTACAGCTAACAAAAGCCATGCTGTGTATGAACAATTACCACTTACTTTATATATTTAAAGCACCATCCTCTTAAGATGAAAAAAATTATCAAAATCAAAAGCACTTACGTATAAACATAATGTGACTCAAAATAATAATCTGTAGTTTTTCAATGTATTAGGTGTTCTTAATTAAACCAGATGTGTTTCAAATGGAAACTGATATCTTTGTGCTCAGGGTAGGCTGCTTAGAGAGACTGCTGATGTTTTGTTTCAGCTGTTTATGAGTTACATTTTTCTTCCTTTTTATTGCAGCTCTTTCTTTTATGCCTTCCTGAATCTGCTGATCAGCGCCTTTGTGGTGTTTATCACATTTATTGCTAGCACTATAGTGAGTGTAGGATTTAACATGTGGTGTGATGCAATTACCGAAAAAGGAAGCATGCCAAATAGGTTAGTATTGAAGAATACATTTTCTCTTTTTTTTTTTTTCATATATGCACAAATGAACAGTGCTGTTACAAACTGTACTTATTGCATGCAAGGTGAGCAAGGGTGAGAAGACATGTGTAATATGCAAATCCAAATTTCTTTCATCTGGAACACCCCCCCCCCCCCCCCGAATATATTTATTTATATATTGCTTTTAGTACCCCACAAAGAAAAGTATGTTTCCATGGAGTTTCATGGTCTCTTTTAGATTCATTATTTTATACAAAAGAAATCCATTAGCTCAAAATGTTTTGTTTCCAAAGGAGAGCTAGATTTGGAAATGCTCTAAGAGTAGGTGGAGTGTGGTCTTGTAAGCAGGGGAGGGGACTTGGAGTCAGGGCTCCTGGGTTGCTGTCCTGGCTCTACCACCGACACACTGTGTGACAGCAGTCAAGTCACTCATCCTGCTTGTGCCCCAGTGCACTGTCATCCAAAATTTGATGTGAAGATGCTGGCCTCATAAAGGTGCTGTGAATGCCCTGAGAGCCCCAGAACTGAAAGTGCTTGTAAGTGTCAACAGATTGTTGATACTTCCTTACAGTGCACAAAATGTGCAGCTCCTAAAATGGTCTGCTGTATCCAATGGTGCTTATGCTCCTTATAGGAAACAAGATAAGTTGAGGTAGGCTTTTTCTATCAAACAAATAACAATAAGAGTGAGGAAAAAGTGACATTTTATGTCATATGATATTAAATAAACATATTACTTAAAGCATACATTTATGTTGCGCATTGCCATATGTTGTAAAATGCCATAGTAAATATTCTGTTTAGGGCTGCAACGATTAATCGAATTATTCGAATATTTGGTTAAAAATTCAATTACAAAAATGTCTAATCAAATATTCGAATAAGAACCCAAGATGACCGACAGCACTGAAAAGGAGAGAGAAGAGGCTGCAGAAATCAACCAAGAGCTAGAAAGACAACCTCAAAGTCCTGGGAAAGTTTTCACACCAGTAAAAGTCCAAGTTATTTGTAAAATCTGTAGGCAGCCTCTATCTTACCATCAGAGTATCGTCTCCTTGCCGGAGCATCCGAAACAAAAACACCCACACAATCCCTTCTTCTGAGTCTTTTCCTGATGAAGTCAAAAGGTAATGGAGGCTCATACGCTTTGTTTCATTGAGGGGTGAAGCAACCAACATGGGGCTATGCCAGATGTGTATATGTGGGAGGCTTGGGCATAGTGGGCGAAGAGGGTTTTAAGAGTACTGTTTTCATAATAATTATTACAATTTCACTTATGGAAAATTGATGTTATAGCTTACATAATTATACATTATTTTTTCATAAAGGAAGTAATTACATGCCTCTTTTAGCCTAGTTTTAGAGAAGACTGGCAAGCAAACTGGTTACTGTTATAACTTAAATATCTTTTGATGGAATATTGCTGTTGTGACAGAAACAGATTTAAGATGTTGTTTTCTTTTGCATTTGGTTTGTCTGTTTGGAATCTCTGAAATAATTTTCTTTTTTTTCCCCTCCAAATGCCTTCCTTGGGTAGCTGTGAAGAATTACAGGATATAGATCTTGAACTGAACTTAGAAAACTCTGCTTTCTATGACCAGTTTGCTATTGCGCAGGTAGGTCAGACTGGGTCATAGTTCTTTTCCAGTTCATTTGCCACTTTCTCATTGATCTGGGATTACTGGAGCTGACTTACCATTCCTCTGAAATCAATGAGAATGTTTCCACTGAGTTCAGTAAGTGCTGAATCAGGATGATAGTGATGGGCACATTTGCATTCTAAATTCAAAATAGATATTTTTGCTTGTGGATGTGTCAAAACCTGATTCTGCCACTGATCTTGCTACTCATGACAGAAAATTTATTGTTTCTCCGAAGGATGAGCTCTGCAAAACTTGCGACACTGGTGTCCTGGAGCAATTCACTGCTGTTCAGAATAATGTCTGAGGCTATTAGCTTTGCCTTCCATGAGTTTTTCTGAGATGGTCTGAGCCATATAAATATCAGACCTTTGAAAATAAATATTACTGTCATTTAGATAGGCTGTTTTCCAATGAATCTTTGAGAATTAGATCACTAAGACCTTTCTATTGAATAGGCTAGTCCTAAGTTAACAAAGTCAGTGAATACTGGGACTTGGGCATTTGTGCATGTGAGCACACACTAGATCTGCAAGGAGGATAGCCCCATCCATGTAGGGCTGCAGCCATACACATGCTTCTTACGTTGTCCCTCATGGGAAGAAGCATTAGGTTGCGTGGGGCACTCCTCAAAGGTAACCATGCCTTTTGGACACAAGCTAGTTTTGTGTCTTCATTGTCAGCACTGGTATGTGTATACCCAGCTCAGATGTTTCTGCATGGACCGAAATATACTGTCAAAGTAACCTCTTTATATGATGCTAGCTCAAGGCCAAGCTGTATTTCGCAGCAGATTTTGCTACTAGATGCTAATCTACCAGCAAGTGGGAAGGTAGCAGAAGTCAGCCTGTTATGGGTCTATAGATTTGAGTTCATGAGAACTAAATGTCCGTGTCCACCTTATGATCTCTGGGTGGATGGTTGGTAATCTATATACAAGAAAAGTAATTTCTCTAACAAGAAGCCATGCCTAAAAATTAAAGGTCCATGCAGTTGAAGGACAGTTAGCATATCACAGTGTAGATGGATCAGCCCAAGCCACTGAATGTGACTCCCTGCATCAATCCCCATCCCTCCAAGATGATGCTGGGTAGAGCAGGCTAGCCCCACCCAGGTGCAGCCACTAAACTCCACAAACAACCAAATGTGAAGAATTTGGAAGCATAACAGCTCCAGAAAAACACCGTTTGGCTTTAAAAGCTGAACCTGGTAATATCAAAGTGAGTCTTGATTGTGACTGAAGAAAGGCCAAAGTCAAATTCTGCATCAGTTTTCTGATATCTAGGGTATGGTAATCAGAGTTGGATGAAGAGACAAGAATGGGTTTGCTTCTGTAGGGCAAATAAGATTCTTTGAAATGGTAGAAATAAAAACTCAAGAATAGACTAATGGGCTAAAGCAAACGTTTCCTTATAAGTGCAATAATTTCCTACTGCAGTCTTTATTTACTTAAAGGCAGTGTCTGTCCCTGTATCTGCCATGTTTCCTCTATTTGGATGCTTCTAGCTCATCAGGATGTCTCTGGGATTTTTACTGAATTTGGTTAAATCCAAGAAAGCTCTTTCGTATCAAAGATGCTGAGAAGACCACAGCAGTAGCAGATATCTGAATGTCTATAAGATAATATTTCATGAAGTGGTCCTTAAGATGTGAATGTAAAGCTTCCAATTCTCTCTAGCTATAGTCATATGAAGCCAACTTATTATGTTCTTATTTCCAGAGTTTGTAGAATAATTTAAAAGTATTTTTTACAGGTGAACTGAGATAATTGTAAGTATGGGCAGAAATAAGAGAATTTCCAAAGTGTGTAAGATACGTAGGAACATAAACTCCCATTAAAAAATAGTGTCCCTTGCTTATCTGAATTGACTATTGGAGTACACAGCTGTATTACTGTCTGGAAATGTTTAAATATTTGTATTCTTTTAATTAAAAAATCCGTATATCAAAACTGAAACACTGTGATTCAATTAATGCTTCTTTGCTAAAGGCATCACAGAATTAAAATGGAATTTCTACCAGAAAGCCTTACTACAGATGAGCTTCCTCTGGGTCAGGGGTGCCAACATTTATGTGCCTGAACCAATGAAACTGCAATTATCTCTATGAAGTTAAGCAAGAGAGATTAAATTAGTAGTGGGACTTATTGCAGATCTGAGACTTTAAGCCCAGGTCTGTAATGCCAGTCATAAGTGAGCCACCAGGCATTTGGATTCACTGTAGTGGGTTACTCTTGCTCTCAGAGTTCATACTGAACCAATTACCTCAGAATGCGAAGGTTTTATTTGTAAAATTTTCTCAACGATATTTTGACTATAAATACCTTAACATTAACACTTCTGCAGGGGTAGTGGAAGGCCTGAGGGACTTGGGAAGACAGTTTTGGAAAACACACCTCAAATCATATTGCAATTCTAAAGTAATAAAAGTGAAATAATCCCAAGAATTTTGGGCTGGCCAGAATGCTGGATATGGGAAGTTCAGAGGATGCACCTCATTTATACATATTTCTTTTTTTCATTATTGTACTTAGCACTGTTTTGTTTCAGTTTTTCTAGTATGTAAGTTTTTTTTTCTTTTAAGCTAGGAATAATTTGTGTGGAGGAACAGTAGGGTCAGGACCTCACTGTGTGTGACTTGGTGTGACTCTATGGAGCTTGGTCCAGCTGAGATTTTGATATTCACCTGTACATTTGACTTTGTTTTTACAATACAGTACTGAACTCTTTATAATTTCTTTTTTATTCTAGTTTGGTCTCTGGGCTGCCTGGCTGACTTGGCTGGGAATTACCATTCTGGCTTTCCTGAAGGTTTATCACAACTACAGACAGGAGGACCTGCTAGATAGCCTGATTCATGAGAAGGAGCTGTTGCTAGGAAGATCCTCTTCACGATCCTCTTTGCAAGATGAGAAAAGTGGCATGATCTAAAGTGTAAGCAAATTTCCAGGGCAGGATGTAGATTTTAATATTCAGTAGTGTGAGCTGAAGTTGAATCAGGGTATTAAGTGTTGGAGAACTTTTCTTTCCTGAAAAGAGATGTACTTGAGAATCACCCACTTCCTCTATGAGAAACTGTTGGCAGAAATGTTCATATTGTAGTACAGATACTGTAACCTGCTCTTGCCAGCAGAGTTCCTACTGCCTTTTGGGGTGGGGGCCATTTTTGTGGACTGAGCTGGCAATACCAGGCTACAGAGTCCAGGATATTTCTTCAAACTATTCTGAAACAACAGTTGTCACTGTGGCTGTGTGCAGTTCCTCTTCCCTCCCTCTCCTTCCTTTTGCCAGTAAAGCCACCCCTATTCTCACCTTATTTTGCATAATTGCAGCTCTGGTCCAGGTACAGACTCTCACTGTCTCTGCTTTTGCTATATGTATGGATGCAGTGCTGACAAACCTATTGCTCCTGCTCTGATTTTGAGTTCATTTAGAACATAGAGACCTGTATCCAGACTTGATATTTAATACGGGACAATGTTAATGAATTTCATGAAACCACTATCTTCTTACAGTATCTGTCAAAAACTTTATTAGTAGGATGGATGGTGGAGAATTTTTGTGGTTTTTTTTTCTTAGATTTTGGCATGACCAACATTTATTATGACTCCTGAAGTATAGTGTAGCTAGCAATTGCTGAAGCTTGCATACTAAGAAATTAGACTGAACAGGTAGCATTAATGCTTGTGCATTTATAAATGTAACTTGGTCCCTAACATTGTATACTATTCAGTTTTGAATATTAGAATTTGCTTGTGATATTTATTTCATATGGGGTATGCAAAATCACTATAAACATTTGCATTGTGGGTATCTCTATATATCTATAAATACAGCAAGGAGCTTGAACAGCTGAGTTATTTTATACATAGTGCAGTGTTGAATGGTTCCATTTTCCCAACTCATGGGCAGGAGTTCCAAAGCTGACAAATTTTGTTGTGGAAAAGAGCCATTACTTATACAAAGCTCACTAATGGCTTTGTTGTTGCTTTCAGTTTTGCTTGGCTAGTCCTTCATCAAATAAGGTGGATGGTTGAGATGAGAAGTCGATATGAATTAAAAGTGACTCAGATGAGTGTGGGATTTGCACAGCAGGGAAGTAAAGTTGCACTTGAGCTAGGCAGTTATCCTCTGGTTATACATCTCACTGAAGACCCCGATTCAGCAGTTAAGTTAAGCTGAAGAAGATTTTTTGGGAGTACACTGATACTGCCTGTGGAAACTGTGTTTGAGTTGAAACTGAATTTATTGCAACACAGGTACAAACCATGCACAACTATATTACCACTTAAGTAAGAAGGAATTAAGTACTGGCTTAAACTTTTGGTTGAAATGGAATTTGAAGTCATAGCAAATCCCTGAATTAGTAAGCATTTTAGGCCATAAAATCTAACATTATATTTCACAGCCAAATTTTTCTTATAGATTTAGGGAAAAAAAAATCTCCATAGACTCTAAGCAGGAGCCAGCCCTGTAAACATCACTTAAAGCCCTAACTGGGCATACCTATCTGTAGAGAGATCTTGTTTTTCAGCGTGATTTCTGCCCACATGGGAATGAAATTAGTTTGAAAGCTTTACAGCAGTGGCTTTTGTGTAGCTGTGAATTGTCATCAGAGGAGGAGTTCCTGAAGAGGGAGTCAGAGATCAAGTTAGTTAACACCAATTTAAAATTCAGAGATCAGGACTGCTGTAGTGCCTTTATTTATTCATTTGGTCAAATAAGTGGTAGATTGCTGCAGGTACCTAAGCCCTTTGATAAGGCATGACCTTCCCCTTCATACCCTGCAGAAGAGCTTGGGTCCTGAAAGTCAGCCTGTTTTCTGTGTTTCATCAAACATAACTCAAAACATTTGCATAGCTCGAAAGTTGTTTCTCCAACTGTAAAAAACACTACTCTTTCCAGTCTCACTTTGAATTTAAGATTAACCAGTGATGTTTCTTCCCACAAATTACTTCAGCACATACCTTGCTCTTCACATGGAACCATGCTGCTTCTTTGTGTAATATATTTTATGGATGTGTCAAGTCAGGCTTAGGCTGAAGTAACATGTGGGTTGTGACCACCATTCCTGGTCTTGCCTGGAGGTTTGAAGAACCAAGAGGCAGAAGATAGCAAATGTCTCTTCCTCATCCTTGCTCTGAGATACCAGGGCTCAAGCCTTGTCTCTGGTTCTGAGGAGGAAGAAGATGCTACTCCTTAATGAGGTTGTCTGGAGCTCATGGTTTCTTCTACCTCTCTTTTCTCCTGTCTCAGGTTCTTTTCCTCTTTCCCACTTCCATGAGAAGCAGCAAACACTGATTTGGGGGTTTCTATCTTGCTGACTTTTGTGGTTATCATTTTCACTAATGTTTGTTACCATGACTCTATCTCACTGACACTATCATCATTGTTATGCAGCTCAAAAGACAAAAGTGGGATCTTCAAAGCACCTGGGGCAGCCAGAATCCCACCTTGAAGTAAAGGTCAATAGGAATTAAATACTTCAGCCTTTGTAAAATCCAGTCAAACACAAGCATGTGTACAGACTCACCTGTTAACTTTGGCATCAAAGCTTACCCTAATTCATTTACGTGGGTGAATTCTTCTAACCCCAGTTCCATTACAGTGCCCATGAATGAAATAATCCTGGCAGTTGAAGTTGGCATGTAAACTGAAAAGAGGCTGAAGATCTTCTTTGAATTCCACATGCAGTTTGATTTATTTTTCACAGCTTCCCTCACTTGACAAGGTAGGGTGAGGCTAGCACCCAGCTTGCAAGGATGAGTGATGCTTAAAAGTAAGGCTGTTTTGGAGGGAAGACCCTGTGCAGGTGAGAAGGCAAAGGGTGTATTGAGAAGCTCTCTGGCTAACTCAAAGGGAGAAAGGGTATTGTGCAGTCTCCAGTTATTGGATCCACTTGGGCTTTTTCATTTGTGTTTTGTTCGCTTTCTGCAACCTCTTCTCCTAAAGCTTGAACACTTTGACCAACATGGTGATACCAGGCTGAAAATGTGTTACAATAGCAATATTATTTATAAACACGTGCATAGATACCTGTGATCATTGCTGTTAGTCATCCATTGCCAACCAGCACAGTGTGTGTCTGCAGTAGGAGTTTCTCATGAGTCAAATGTTGCATTTCTATGATATTTCAGGGTCGTTTTTAATTTTCCATCTCCCAAAGCAGACCTCTGCGAACACTCTAGCAAGAGTGTTTAAAGAACTAGAACCCTGTGTAGTATTTATGCTTGTGTTTGTTTACTGTTACATGATAGAAGGGGAAAAAACATTGGGTTTGAACATCTTTGAGCTAACAGGAATTCTGTCTGTATCCAGATCCTAAATTTGTGCCTCAGACAACATCCTTTGCTGATGGAAATAGCCCATTTTTATCTCATTGGAATGTTTGCTTTGGAGACTACAAATGTCCTTTTTATTTATGCTTAAGCAATCTGAGAAGAGAGGCAGGTTTTGCCTGGCTGGTTTCCACACCTGACATGGTGAGAAAATGCTAATATAGCTTCATGAGCACTGAAATGGCTTTAGAAATATTTCTGTTTATGGTCCTAATGCCTTAAATTGCATGTTTCTATTTTTGTCCTCTATGAGAATGAGGAAAACGAACCTGAGCTGTACTTTCGTATACATAGACATGTATCTAAAAGTTTTTATTTTTTTTTTGAAATGACAAAATGACAATAATTTATGAAACTAGCAACTACATAGAAAACAGCACTTTGATGTATTCCTGACACAGAAGGGAAAAACACAACTGCACTCTCTCAGAAAACATTTGTTTCTAGAAGTTAGACAGCAATTTACTTCATATATAGCAAGTGTTGCTTATTTCAGTGCAGGCATGTTATTGATAGTCTCTTTCCATTCTGTTGTTGGGAAGTGTATTTACATAGCAATGCTTTCTCTTCAGTTTCTTTTTTCCATGCCAAAGAGTACAATTTAACTGCTATTGCAAACACAGATTAACATGAATGTATTCACCTGAGTGCTTCAACTTTTCTACCTCTTGTAGTTACTCTAACTTCTTGAACTGCCAATACTGTCAAAACTGACCACAGTCAAAAGAACTGAATCCCTGTGAGAGTTTAAATCCTATTTTCTTAGATAGGTAAAGGAATTAGGATTGAACACTTATTAGTTTCCTGTCAGATCCTTGTTCCTAAAAAATGGGCATATGCACCCAAGAAGGGTGAATAGCACTTTGATGTGTCATAGAATGCTTCTTTTAAAATTCTTTTTTCTCACCAAAACAAAAAGCCAGCAGCTGTGATTTGTTAGATGTGGAAGGTTGTATGTTACCTGGAATGTTGCATTTCACAGGGGTGACAGAAAGTGATGAGCTACTTGTTAAAATGCCTGTAACTGTCCATCCCCACCTCCTGCCACTGCAATAACTGTGAGGCACAGATTTAATCTCCCCCTCTGCCTTGGGAGACCCAAGCCTCTGTCCACACGGCATATGCTGCTACCATGTTGTTATCCTGGATCCCCCTCAAATCCTCATATTAAAGCTATTCTATTTGGCTTGAAATTCCTGAATAGCAGTGTTTTACCCTGGTGTTTATCAAGGAGATAAAGTACTTGGCAGTAAGAGCTGCACGCTGAAATAATTTGAATTATTTGTATACGGTGAAAACCCAATTTGAGAAGTTTTATTCCCCCTTTCCATTTGACGGTGTTGTAAAGTGAGGGTTGAGAGAATCTATCAGAAGGTGGGACTGAAGATTTTTTGTTACTGAAGATTCATTGTTACTGTCTCAGGTGATTTGTCACACAGGTGGGTGAGCAGTCCTGTGACAAAATTATTCTCTATTTACTTTTTGTTTTCCCCTTGTTTCCACCAAGATTTGGACAATATGACCCAGTTTGTATGCAGGTTCTGAAGAGTATTTATGAATGTAAGAAAAATTGCAGCTCCTATGTAAAAAAAATAAGAACAAGTGTTGCAGTTTTTCCCTGTTCTCAGTTGGACTCTCTGGAGTATGATGTTAAGCCCTTCCCTTTACATAAGCCAGGCCTGATTCAGATGACATGTTGCTCTAGGAGGCTCCCAAGGCTGGTGCCAGCAGACCCTCAAGGAACATGGTAAAGTTAGATGAGTGCTATGTTAAGGCACGGAAACATTTGATAATCATCTCTGATGATATCCCACATAATACATTCCAGAGTTCTTCACCCTCTCACTCCTGCAGCAGAGGGAATTATTATTTTCCCTGTTAACACTGTGAAGTCCAATAGTTTGTCTCTGAGGTACAGCATATCTTACTGTAAGACAGAGAGTCTTGATTGCACCAGTTAACCCGTTCCACTTTCTAGGCTGCTGCAACAGCTTTAACTATCATTGTTAACAGAGTGTTCTACATTTGACTTTAAAAAGTGCTAGCTATCTCCTTATTAAAACACAGTTTGCTGGATTTGAAAGCAGTCCTTTTGCTAAATGAAACCTCTGTGCTGAACAGCGTCCTTCCAGGGGAAGAACTATGACATCAGGGTCCACAGCCAGTGCAGACTGATGATATCAAAGCAATTCTGGTCAAATACCCTCTGAATAAAACTATTGCTGTCTTTCAGCCCGAGTTACACAATTGTGGTCTGAAGTACAGCCCTTGGACGTTTTTTGAAGGTTTATAGACAGAGCAAAACAACAGCAATAAATTCCAACAGTTCCACTGACACCTCCTTCCCCTGGTTCCTTCAATTGCCAAAACCATTCCTGCAGCCTTCACAGAGGGTTTTATCACCATCAAGCTGATCAAGCCTTATTTCTCCTATCTCTTTCTTCTGAGGACAAGGATTGCTGAGGGGAGTGGAGAGTGCCATAAATCAGAACAGAAACAGGTAGTGAGAAGAACTGTCAGCACATTTCCTATGAGGGATTTTGGCTTTCAGGCTGTGATATGAGGGACCCAGCATGGCACTGCCTATTGCTTACTACCTGCTCATACGGCTTCACAAACTGCAAAGCACCTCCCTGAAGCATGTGTTGGCCTAAACTCTGCTTCCGGAGAGAGCTACCTGTGTCAGCTGTGCAGATACCTATTGCAAAGGTGCTGGCATTGCCACCAGGTTTGGAGGAACTGCTTTTTAAAACTCTTTCTGTGTTGAGAGATCCATATACCCTATGCCTGGCCATTTGCCTGGTGTAGCTCGTGGCTTGTGTGGGGAAGGAAAAGCTGTTCCCAAATCTCCTAGACTTGCCTCTTTTGAAAGTAGCTATTGAAATCCATTGTTTTAAAGGTTTGGGAGTTCTGTGTGATACCACCTGCAAAGATCTGAAGCAGATCTTCTTTGCTTATGTCAGTACAGCCTCTCTGAAATGTATGTCCTGTGATTTATGTATTCATGAGGTACTGTCTCTTATATCTATGTCAGAAAAGCTTTATATAAAGAGGTCCTTGTGTAATGGATATTTGGGGACAGAACTAATGACTTTTCATGGCTTTTTTTTTTTTTAACTATTGAAAGCAGTAGAGGGGCAGATCCTCTGCTGATTTACATAGCTTAGCTTCGTGAACCGTGCTGAAGCCACACGAGTCCACACAAGCTGAGGGTATAGACTGGTCTGTTTTGAATATTATCTCTGTTGATTTGTGTGGTCTTTTGCAGTGTAATGACTGCTGATTTGGAGCTTTAATTGCATGCATTTGACAAAAACAGAACTGGAGTGAGTTTACTATTGTTTTGATATAGTCTCAAAAGGGAAGCTTTTTACTAGCATTTTAATATAGCCCTTTGTAAACGCTTGGCAAATAAAAATTCTGAGTCCAATCCTTCTGCTAATGGAGTCACTGAAAAAGTTCCCTTTGGCTTTACTAGGAGCTGGAGTGGGTTCAATATAAGTGATACACTCTTGTGTTACTGAGTCAACGTGTTTTATATATGGATGCTTTTTGCTGGGCAGTACATTGGCTTTTTATGATTTGGTGATACACAAATAAATTATTTGAAAAGTCAATATTTCTGTGCCTTTTTTTGAAGGTGAATTTAAATTATTACAATGTGAGATAAAAAATTGTTCTCAAAGTCAGAGGTAGTGTCTTAGTTCATGTATTCATTCCCCAACATCTCTATGCTACAGCTTGTAGAGTCAAGGATATGGCCAACCATCCTAAACTGCCTGAGCCCTTTTAGTACCATCTTCCAGCAGTGAACCATAATTCCATATGAGGCAGGGAGAAGATGCTCCCATATCAACATGCAGCTGGGAAGCAGCTTGTTATCAAAGATAAAGAGGGACCAGAGGCTTCATAGAATCATAGAACAGTTAGGGTTGGAAAGGACTATAGATCATCAAGTTCCAACCCCCCTGCCATGGGCAGGGACACCTCCCACTAAACCATATCATGCAAGGCCTCGTCCAGCCTGGTCTTGAACACTGCCAGGGATGGAGCGTTCACAGCCTCCCTGGGCAACCCATTCCAGTGCCTCACCACCCTAACAGGAAAGAATTTCCTCCTTATATCCAATCTAAACTTCCCCTGTTTAAGTTTTAACCCTTTACCCCTTGTCCTATTACTACAGTCCCTAATGAATTGTCCCTCCTCAACATCCCTATAGGCCCCCTTCAGATACTGGAAGGCTGCTATGTGGTCTCCACGCAGCCTTCTCTTCTCCAGGCTGAGCAGCCCCAACTTCCTCAGCCTGTCTTCATACGGGAGGTGCTCCAGTCCCCTGATCATCCTCGTGGCCCTTCTCTGGACTAGTTCCAACAGTTCCATGTCCTTTTTATGTTGAAGACACCAGAACTGCACACAATGCTCCGGGTGAGGTCTCACAAGAGCATAGCAGAGGGGCAGGATCACCTCCTTCCACCTGCTGGTCACGCTCCTTTTGATGCAGCCCAGGATACGGGTGGCTTTCTGGGCTGCGAGCGCACACTGCCGGCTCATGTTCATTTTCTCATCAACCAGCACCTCCAAGTCCTTCTCCACAGGGCTGCTCTGAATCTCTTCTCTGCCCAACCTGTAGCTGTGCCTGGGATTGCTCCGACCCAGGTGTAGGACCTTGCACTTGGCTTGGTTAAACCTCATGAGGTTGGCATCAGCTCACCTCACAAGCGTGTCAAGGTCCCTCTGGATGGCATTCCTTCCCTCCAGCGTATCAACCAAACCACACAGCTTGGTGTCATCGGCAAACTTGCTGAGGGCGCACTCAATCCCACTGTCCATGTCAGTGACAAAGATGTTGAACAAGACTGGTCCCAGCACTGATCCCTGAGGGACACCACTCGTTAGTGGTCTCCAGCTGGACATTGAGCCATTGACTACAACTCTTTGTCTGCAGCCATCCATAGCCATTCATGGACAGACTCATATTCTAAATGACAACTGGTTAATTTTCTTCATGTAGCATCAGCTTTTCTCTTCAGAAGTGGGCCTAAGGGTTCCCAATAGCTATCATGGAGCAAAAAATTAGTAAGAACCAAGTTCACACTATTATATTAGTTTCCTGAGTTATCCCTTGAGGGCACCTGGTAATACCCTTTTTCTAGTCACATGCTCCCAGCCCTTCTGCTTGATTCAAAGTGGCAAAAAGTAGAAATTGCAATTAAAATTGCTGCTATGGGATTCTTCTGCTCCATTAACTTGTTTCCAGACTAGCAGCATTGGAGAGATGAAGGGAGGGAGTGGGAGTAGAAGCAGTCTTTGGGGCTGTCTTTTAACAGTGCTGATGCCGAGCGCTTTGAAAGGTTAACGCAAAAAAATCTATTGTCATCTCACTGTGTCCATTTCTATCTCCTCTAATCATACGGGTATGGATACGCCTGCTAGTGCAATCAGGTGCTGTTGATGTGGTGAGCCTGCCTAAAGAGGGTGTTGGCAGCTGCCCTCTATTTGTGCTGCAGGAATGTACTGAACACTGTAAAAACAACATTTAGCCTGTACTATTGTGGCCTGCTGATTTCTGTTGTGCATTAATTTCATACTCATTGCATAAGGGATATTAGGCAGCACTTGTACCCTTAGGCCCTGCCATTAGCCGATTTTCATGAGCAGACTTCCATCTGCTCTTTTCTGGCCCTGTGACTCCTACCACCCTAAACACTGCTCCTGGGAAGTCCACCTACTTTCTCTCTGCTTCAAAAATTGCTGCCTTCCACCACTTCCTCTTTCATACCTTTAAAGCTAAAACATGACCATTTCTAAGATGGATTAAAAAATTGCTCGGAGCTGGTTGGCTACAGGATTCTTGACTTCCAAAGCAATTCACCAGGCTGGCACCAGAATGAATTCAGGTTGACCATGTGTAATAACTTATGTACTCCCTCTCCTTTTTTACCTTTTTATGGGCAATTCTCAGGAGTTTTACTAGAAGGAAATACTACTCAGCATGGCTGGCAAAGGAATTATTACCCAACATGGCTGATTTTGTGTAACTTCAGAGCTCCTATTAGGTCTTTCAAACTCACAAAGGTGTCATACCTAGAAAAACATCATTGAACAAGAATAAGGAGAAATCCCATCTGGCGTACAGTAGTGAGGATAGATCTGGGATCGATAAAGAACAGAAAGAAGGGGCAGAGTGTGAAAAGGGTGTGTTTGTGTGTGTGAGTGTGTAAGTAGGCTGAATTAATGGGGAAAGAGCTTCAGTGTCGGAAGGAAGTAAAACAGCTAAGTCCACAGTGAAGCTGTGTAGAAATAAATAAATGCAGACACAGGCGTTGGGATTTTTTCTTCTCTTTCCAGCTTTGATATTGACCTGCTTCATGCACTTACACAAATACAGTGGCTTTCTCAGCTTCAGTTTCTTTACCTGCAAAATGCCACAACTCTCCTAGGAATGGTTTTTTTCTTCTATTTATTTCAAACATTCTGGCTTTGTAGTGAATTTATTGTGGCTTTCTGCAGCCTGCCATATGTCTGATTGATTGACCAGACTAAACAATCCTGACCCAGGAGTTCTTGCAAGGCCATGGTGAGACCTTGGCAGACAACTTAAGTGTTGCCTTTACTCATGTTCAAAACTGTTCCAACCAGAGCCTAAGCAGAAGCCAAGAATAGCTGTTCATCTGCTTAATTTCCTTGACAGCCCAGATGCGATAGCCATTCTCACTGTCTCTGATAAAGCTGGGCCCAGGAAGGAGAACATGGTCATTTTCCATTTAAAGCAGACCTGGTGGAAAGTGGTCCCATACCCATCTCTTGAGGACCTGTGCAGGGAGGTGAGCACACTGCTTCTGCATTTTCCCTTACAGTCCTAACAGGAGTTCCTTTTTTATGTTACCTCTTTGGCTTGTTTTAAAGTTGCTGAAACCAGGTTCCTAACATACTGGAAGTGTTCACTCTACTGCTCTTGCTCTTGAGATTGCTTGGCTCTTGTCAGCTCAAGCTTTGCTTTCTTGTTACATTATGCCATGACTTGCAGCGAGGGAATTGTCTCTTCAAAAAAGGTACCTCTTTTGAAGGGGCTAATTACTATGTGTGCTGGGAGGGCATGTCAGTCTAGAGCCAAAAAAAGGAACATCACTGATTTGCCAGAAAGTTTCCTCATGAACATTAAAAAGATCATAATGAAAAAATGTGAAAATGAAGTTGCAGTGATCCCTTTGCCCCATGCAGGTACAGATCCAAACCTTTCCATCAGAGATTCATCAGCACAGAAATTTAAAACCTTTGTTCTTTATTACCTAAACAGCAGGGCTGAGATGGGGGAGAGGGAAGGGAAGCAGTGGTGAAACTTATCCTCTGTGCTGGGGTATCTGAGTGATTTGCATAAAGAACCTCTTACTAAACACTCCTCCTGCAGCAACCTCTGCTTCCCAGATTGGCATTGTGTCGAATGCAATTGCTGTGGCCTTTGACATCTTAGGAGGAGCACAAAAATAACCAATGAAGTCACTTTTTTCTTTCCTGGACTGCAATTTTTTGACTCATTCTCAATCAAATTGCTGCTCACTCTCCTCTTGAGAGAAGGCTGCATATTGTGTTTCTGTTTATCCTCCGCCTGGTTAGAGTCCTTGGGCTGCTTGGAAGAAAGTTGTTGGGGCAGAGTGGTATGGCCCTCTTAAAAAAAAAATCAATTAAAAATAAAGCAACTTTTTTTTTTTTTCATTTTTGTGGGTTGCAAGAGCAGGAGAATTCTAGGCAAGGTACCGCAGGCTTCTCTTCCATCTTATCTGCAGTGTTTTCTTTCCCTATTTTTTCGTTTTCCTTTTCCTTACTTCACACAGGTTCTGATGTCAAACTTATCATGAGAAATAAACCGAAGAACACATTAGGGCTTACTTGACAAGAATCTAAGGCCTAAAAATCTGGTTGTGCTTGCTTCGTCTAGGAGGAAAGAATAGCTGAAGCTCAAAAGCTTGTACTTGCTTGTTCTCCTCAGACATTCAGAGCACCATTCTACATTTATTGCATAAACTCCATTAAAAAGATTCCCTTCAGAGAGGCGCATACTATGGTAGGACACTAGAGAGATAAAGGGGCTTTGCCACCCATGCCTTCATAAATGGTCCATATTACCATTATATAAGGCCTTGCATACCCAAGCGTAAAAGCATAGCCTCTGACTCAATAGAAACATTGTCATAAACCTTGTAAGCTCATGGGGTTTATGGACTGAATCGAGCCCAGGGGATTAAACTACTGATATGATAATTAGCCTGGCATTCAATGCTGCTATCTATTATGTTAGGCAAATAAACTATTTACTGTGTAAACGAGTTTTAATATTCTTTTTCACACCTGGAGTCAAGTGAAATATTAGGAAACAGCTTTAACCTATGGAGGAAAAAAATACGAGAAGGGAAGCAAGAAAGCTATTTGCCACGATTTTGTTAATAATCATTTCAGGTGTATAAATATAGCAGCTTGCCAAGCCTTTGGCCGTCAGAGCAGTGTTTGTGCAATAGCCCAGCTTTATTCTAATTTTTACCGAGCAGCTCTTAGGAGACCTGTGGAGAAAGGTGACTCGGTATTTAAAGCCTTGACCTGAGACTCAGGAGACTTTTATTCA